ATTTTAGTCTATAAAGTTTTTTCGTTTGTATTTTTTGTTCAAGTTACATGAATTTTTGGTGCTCTATATTTGTCCCGCGATGTTCGAAATTTTTTTGGGTGGCGATTTTACCCCTACGTAGGTTTAATGAATCCCGCGCGGGATTTTTGGAAAACCCGCGATTTGCCCATCTCTATGTATACCATTTTAACAATAAATAATGTTTATTCTACCAAGTATAGTCGAACCGAATCAATACACTCAAGTTCACAAACTTACGTTTCACGTATATTTTACACTTCAATACACATACGTACGCATTATTTTTTAATATGACTGATCACCTTCCAAGATTTTGCTCACTAGCAATTCTAGTTGTCCGTTAACCATACACTTCGTAATTTTCATTACTACGTCCCTGGTATTAGACCACCATTATATGCAGTAATATGTATTTGCATTTGTGTAATATTAACATGTATAAAAGTGACATCTTGGCTTCGTAGAAAAAACAATTTACTATTCATTTGATTTGATTCTCACTCTGACTAAATCGCACATTGAATCTTCATTTGGTTTTCTTTAATAATATTATTATTATAAAATCATACGTATTTATGCTTTAATATTATACCCACGTATACATCAAGCCAATCCAGTATTTAGATCCACTCTCTCACTTTAGTAGTATAGGCTTCGTGTATGATAAAATAATAATATCGTTAAAAAAATATCCGTAATTTGTTCATAATATGGCAACAAATAATCAATATAATTCACTTGATGATACGATTAATATAATTACGACCGGATTACTGCCAATGGTAATTAGGGTTGGGGGCACGGGGCACGAGGCATGCCTTTCGGGCATGCCCTTTTTCAAAAAATTTATATATGCAAAAAATTGTTACGTAAAAAATTTTAGGGGCATGCCTATAGGGCATGCCTCTAAATCAAAAAAACCAGAGGCATGCCCATGGGGCATGCCCGAAAATTTTCCCGTGCCCCAACCCTAATGGTAATGCTTGGTCTGTTTAAAGGTTTTAAAGAAAAAAAGAAAATTTTCTCCTATAAATGTATTTGATGATTTTACCATATTTTTTATCTATTTTCATATATCCTTCTATTATTGGAATACAATGGTATCCATACTATATTCAGAATTTTTATGCAAGTGGATTTGTTTTGGTGTTGGTTATTGCATGGCTACTTTATGATTCATATGTTCTAGCACTTTGTGCAGGTGTCAGAACGAAAGAGGAAAAGGGGTATTGATACTTTATACTTAAAAAAATCAGTATTTGTTTTAGTATGATTTTTTTGTCCATTTTATTACTGATTCTATATAATTATCTTTTTACTGGCATTGATAATGACAATATTATTTATAATGAAAACGATGAGGACAAATATGTTTACTTTGTTTATACTAGTACATATTGCATTGACAATTTTGAGCTAAACAGATGCAGATTTTTGAAAATATTAAATATCTCAGTATTTTCAACATGTGCAGTATTGAGTTTATTTAGTTCTTTATATTAGATTAGATGTTTGCTTCTATACAGGAAAAGGTTTATTTTCGATCATTATACTGATTGTTATTTGTTTCTTTGTATTAATTATTATTACCTTAATTATTTATCTAGCAATTATGTCAGGTTATTTACTTAGTAACAATCCTACTGTTACAAAAATATCCTTCGCATCATGTAGTATAGCACTTAATAGCATTTTGGTGATGATGAACCAAAAAAAATCGAGACAGTGATCTCTTATTATCTGAATTATCATGTTTCTATGATTCAAATTAATAAAGTTGTGGATGTAAAGGAAAATTTAGAAGACATATTGAAAAACTGACAAAAATAACAGATTGAGAAAAATATAAAACCAAAAAGGAAATTAATAATGCTAAAGAAGCACTTGAAAATCAGGAAAAAGAATTAACTAAAATATTAAAAAATAAAAATAACATAGGTAAAGACACAAAAAATAGGAATAAAATCATTATGAATGTAGTAAAAACATTAAATTATCAAATAAACAGACTCGAGAATATTGAGGGTATGATCGAAATTATAGATCAATTACAACTTCAGATACAAAGCTCGAAAATATAATAACAAAGAGCAAATAAACTAGTAATAAAATGGCAACGTTTCATAGGGCTGGAGCCTTATTTATTAGGCGTTTAAATTGTTCAAATTTGAAATAAAAATTTTTAGTATTGTTACTGAGTATTTAAAGTGTAACTTTATGAATATTTTATAAGTTTAAATTGATGCGCATGTGAAAAGACAAAGTCCAATTTAATAATTTACAAAGAAAATAATTTCTACTAATCTTTGTTGTAGACATGTACTTTCTCCCAATTTTTATAATCTATCATAAAAGAAGCACTGCTGAAAAGAAGATCAGAAAGAGCACAGACTCTTGACACAGCTACGAATGTAAAACTTACAGTATAGCAAATTACTTATTGCCAATATCTAATACAGTTTGTGATAATATTAAACTTACCGACTTGTGAATCGTAATTGCACAAGAAAGTCACAATGGAAATTGCATATGGGAACCAGTTCCGGATTTTTCTTCCCGTGTATATATAATTGTGCAAATCAGTACTGCTTGTGAACTATTTGATGTAGGCAGTGTTAAACTTGTATAATTACCACTTTGAGTAGTATTAGTGTAGGCAAAGTAGGTGGCATCTTCCCTAGTTCATATATAATATCAATGACTATTTCCATTGCACCATTAACTAATCCGTAATAATTAGTCAAATATAGAACCATCTTCTGGAAGAGTATGCAATATATCATGGTTGATTTCAATACAGGAATAAAAAGGATTATTGATTTTAAGATAATTTAACCAGATTAAAATATTTGATCGTTTGACACTAAATTCTTGAAATGAAGTAAAATCTTGATTAGGTTTGAATGTCTTAAGCAAAATTAATCGCATGTTCTCGATATCTAAGCTGTGCAACTTAGAGCTTATAAACAGTTAACATTGGAAGAATTTGTGCAATAAGCATTTCTTCCATTTAACTAAGTTGAGGAAGCTCAGGAGTAAATTACTGCAATGGCTCTTCAATGTTTTATAACATTCATTTACATGATTTCCAAGGTAAACAGCATTTTAAACCTTTAAAAAGCCATTGCGGGCGATTTGCTAAACTATTTTTGAGATGATTTTACCACTATTAGAATTGTCTTGACCAAAAGAATAGTCTGAAAGTAGTACTAAACTAGTTTCAAAGCATTTTTTTGTTTGTTTACTATTTATATAAGTACTTAAAATTTTTGTATTTATTTCAAAATAATGCTCATGTGTGTATTCTAAATAACGCGCATATACTCAAAATAACATTTACGCGAAATACGGTAGTGATTCATTGAAAAGATTTCAGATAACGAGCAAATTTCTAATTTGTACCAGAATAGCTATGTATAATAGAGACTTTTAAAATCAAAAAAATTTCACAATAAACTAAACACGCATATAATACGTATTCTTTAGTCAATATAAATATTTTTTTCAAAGTTTCCATTAGAAGGTTTAGAGTTAATGTCAAACGAAATTTTAACAGTATTGCTTATATGACTAATTGTGGCTGCGATCAATCAATGAAAATATTTGACAATTTTTTTTTGTTCTCTGAGAACATAAATTTTAATTTTTTTAGGTTCTTAAAAAAATTTTTTTAATGTTTTTAAAGCTTAGATTATTTTTATAATCGAATTTACAAATTTTATGTTCTCAACTGAGAACATAATCTTTAAAAATATTGTTTTCAAAAATATTTTAATTCTTGAGAACACTGAAAACATTGTATATTTAACACTGGATGCAATACTGAGATCGATAGGGCTGTGTTGATAGCAATCATCTTGTCTTCGCCATGGCTAGGTACTACGGCTTTATAGCGCGAAATGAATACGTACAGTACAAACTAGAATTTCCTAAATAGGATATCAATCCGAATCATACGTACTAATGGAATTTTTAATATACTCCTCAAAAAAAGTATCACGCATGACTTTATTATATTGTTATTTTGATTGGTTAGCATTAATTACTATATTTGCAATTTTTATTGGATAACATTCCTCCAGCGAACCTTTTCATTAGAACTACTAGAATACTTGGACAATATGGAAGCCCAATGGGGTTCCAACTTTCGGTCAACGGTACCGGGAGACAGTATGGCAGTGTCACATGCAACAGGTGAATTAGGATGGTCACAATTGATACACGCAGAAATAATTTCTGTTACAAGCGCTATGAGGAAGAATTCTCGTTGGTCTGGTATGAGTGTTAGTGGTTTGAACATGGGTGGTTTAGGTATGAGTATGGGTTTGAGAGGCAGAAACTCTGTAGCAGAAATTGGTTATCGAAACCAGGTATGTTAGTATTTTTAACGACCTAGTTATGCTAATAGTTGGAATGATTCGTAATTTGACTCTCAAATTTAATAGGAAAGCCCGTTGTTGTCTGGGTTTGCAACTCTTAGATCGCAGTTGTCAAGTATTTCAAGTATGCGCATTTTACAATGTCTATTAATTTATATTATAATATTCGACTCAACCTTATTATTTTTATTTTTAATATTCCAGAGGAGACTGGAATTGATGCCTTGGTATTATTGGAACCATTTCTGGAAGTTATTCGATCAGGAGATACGAATGGTCCAATAACAGCATCTGCTCTTGGCAGCGTGGAAAAATTTTTGACGTATGGGATACTTAATATTAATTCACCAAATTTGCCAATCGCAATGTCAATGCTTTCGTCAGCAGCAACACATTGTAAATTTGAAGCTAGTGATTCTGTTTCTGATGAATTTGTGCTTTTAAAAATCTTGCAAGTTTTACGATTAGCTTTGACTTGCGAAGTGGGACGCGTTCTTAGTGATGAGGCACTTTGTGAAATGATGGAAACTGGATTAAGCATGTGTTGTCAAATGCGACTTAGTGGTAGGCTAGCATTGTAACTACAAATATTCTTCTTTAATTGATAGATGAATTTGCTATACTTTTTTTGTAAATCCATTTCAGAGATGTTACGTCGATCTGCAGAACATACAATGATAGTAATGGTGCAAACCATGTTTGAAAGGTACCAGAAAAATTATTTACTACACCAAACTTCAATTAATGACAGTAGCATAACTTATGATACTCTTAACTAGACTTAAATCATTGGAGGAAGAACCTGCAACATGGCTACCTCAGGATGAAGGAGAAGGTGACAGTGTGTCTTTTCAAGACTCTCAAGTGCGAATGGCGCCACCTGATCCAAAATTACCACGCCTACCTCTTTCATCAGAATATGATAATTTGCCTCAGAATAATAATACTACTACATTTGCTTCCCCAAAAAATGAAATCGTAAAAGATTTATCTCTGGATGATGCAAATGATGATTTAATCAAATTGGATAAAAACGGGGAGGAAGTTCGTAATGAGGTTATTCCAGATCAGGGACAAGACGCTGGTATTGCAATTATATTTTTTCTAACAAAGATTGTTAATATGGGTTTGGCCATTTTAGGCATCCTCTAATATACTACAACTATCAAATTCATATCAATACCAATTTAATTACAACAAAAAGAAGCCACTGAACTGAATGATGAATCCCAAGACAATGATGAAAAGGATTCAGGTACATAAAATATATTGACATTTAATTGTTTTTTAAATTACTAAGCCTTCTTTTTAACTTTATACGCAAAGAACCAAAGCCTTCCGGACTGCCTTCAATACGGGAGTTGCTTCGTGTTCTTATATCCTTATTAAATCCTCATGATCATCAGCATACCGATACTATGCGGTTAATGGCTCTCAGCATCTTAAATGTTGCGTTCGAAGTCGGTGGTCGCACGATAGGACGTTTCGAACCTTTGCGTGCCCTTGCGGTTGATGAATTGTGCAAGTATCTATTTCAAGTAAGTTTTTGTTTTTTGAATTTTGTTTTCTTATATAGTTGATTATTAATGCAATTAAATAATATGTAATAAATACAATTTTAAGCTTGCACGAACGGATAATATGTTACTTTTATCACTCACTCTACGTGTAATATCGACTGTTTTTGGAACCCTTCGTCCATATCTTAAATTACAACAAGAACTTTATTTGTCGTTTCTCATTGAACGTCTTACACCACCTGCAAGTAGTGTGAGATCTCTGGCATTTGATGCAGAATTTTCAAACACAAGCACAAATGATTCCCCACTGCAATCTGGGACTTCTACTCCTAGTACTAATCGCGAACGCAATTTACGTGCCAGCGGTGAAACTGCAACTGCAACAGGCGAAGTGCGCGAACTTTTGCTAGAATCACTCGGACAGTTTGCCCGGGAGCCTTCGTTTATGGCTGATCTATGGGTTAACTATGATTGTGATATAGATTGCGGTGATTTATTTGAAGAAGTTGTCAAATTTTTGAGCAAGGTCTTTTGTCTTCCTATTATAATTTGCGAAATGTTTTATAAGAAACTAATTGTCTTATTGTTTACAGAATTCGTTTCCGGAATCCACAGGATACTCCGTTAGTAATTCGCATGTTATTTGTTTGGATGCTTTGTTGATGTATATAAACTATATGGTGGATAGATTGCAAACAGAGGTATATACAATATTGTTTCCATATTTTAACACTTGAGGCTGGATAAAATCACTTATTGTGTCATAAATTTTTCAATAGAAAGGCAGAGATCGCCGTTCAACTTGCGGATTGGCTTGGGATAAGATGTCAGCAACCGAATATAATACTGGATTGAGGCCAATTGTAAGAAAAAAATTGCAAACATTTTTCTTGATTATTTTCATAGTTTGCTACTAAATTTCCTAACGTTATCTAAATTGTCTTTGAACAAGTCATATCCATCTGCATCAGACCTTTTGTTACTAAAACAGCAAAAACAAATATTAAGAGAAGGAGCAGCAAGATTTAATGAAAATCCAAAAACTGGGATTGAGTTTCTTCAAGGTGATTCCTCTAGAAACTAATGAATACATATAATTTCTACTGTTTCAGCTCTGTAGTAATTTTGATTTTATTATTTTGCGTAGCAAATGGGATAATATATAATGATCCTGCTATTGACAAAAACACTAGTCTTGCACTTTTTTTAAAATCAACGCCCCGTTTAAATAAAAAACTTTTGGGTGATTTTCTGTCGAAACCATCAAACATTGATGTACTTAAGGCATTTGTAAAACTTTTTGATTTTGAAGGAGTATGTATTAAATCTATAATTTGATAGGTGTGAATTAGCAGTTAAAACTGATATGTTGCCCATGAAATTTGTAAGAAACGAATAGATGAAGCTATGAGAGAGATGTTAGAGTCTTTCCGACTACCAGGTGAAGCGCAACAGATTGAACGAATAATGGAGACGTTTGCTGAAACATATTTTGCCTCTGGGCCACGTAAGAATATTTTTTGATTATTCCAATTATGCATTTTATGAATTCGTCTATAAGAATTAAATTTCTCAAAATTTTAAATTTAGAGGAAATTGCGACACAAGACGCTACATTTGTTTTATCTTATTCGGTTATAATGTTAAACACAGATTTACATAACCCTCAAGTTAGAGTATGTATCGTTGGATTATTTCAAATAAATAAACATACTTAAATTAGATCTTTCACCTGAACACAGCGACGTATGTCAATTGAAGACTATATGAAAAATCTCCGAAACGTTAATAATGGCCAAAATTTCTCACCTGAATATCTAGTAAGCTTATAGCTTTCTAAGATTTTTGCAAAATGTTTCTTTATGGTTAATATTTTTTTAATACGTTAGCATGCTATTTATGATGCTATCCGCAAAAGAGAAATCATCATGCCCGAAGAGCATGAGGGACAGCTTGGGTTCAACTATGCGTGGAAAGAACTTTTGCGCAGAGCAGAAAATGCTGGTATAATAATAGTTGTAAATGAATGAATACAACAAAAAATTTTCAATATTTATTCACTTACTTGATTATATTAGGATCATTGATAATATGTGATACCTCTTTATATGACAAGGATATGTTTACAGCAGTGTGGAAACCTACTGTCGCGGCAATTTCGTATGGTGCGTAATATGAGTATAGAAATAATGTAAATTAAATTGATTATTTTCAGATTGAATTCATTTATAATACCAAAAAATTTTCAGCATTTAGCACTGCGCCGAATGATGCTACTCTGCAAAAAGCCATCACTGGATTTCATCAGTGTGCATTATTATCTGCACAATATAAGTTATATGACGTTTTCGACTATATAATTATGTCTCTATCTAAAATGACTGGACTATTAGGAGCTCATTATTCTAATGAGACAGCTAACAATCCATTAGTAAAATTTGGAAATACAGAAATTACAGTTAGTGATCTTTCCATACAATTTGGACGAAATTACAAAGGACAATTGGCTGCTGTAGTTTTATTCGCAGTTGCTAATGAGCATGGTAATATACTCAGAGAAGGTTGGAAATACGTAAGTTTATTCATTATCCATGATTAAAAACAAATATCTACTTTTAACTGTTATTTCATAACTTATAGATCTTGGAGATTATTAAGAACCTTTTTGTCAATTCTTTGTTACCTGCTTCTATGTCACAAGTGGAAGACTTTCTAGCTGGAACTACTACTATCCCATTAAAACCAAAAACCGCACCACAATCTAAACAAGAAAGATCTCGTGACAATTCACTCTTATCTGCATTATCATCTTACCTATTATCACCCTATTCAGGGAATTATGAATCTTCACGTAGTGACCCTACGGATGAAGAAATAGAATGTAGTATGTGTACAGTAGACTGTGTTTCCGTATGCCGTTTAGAAGAGCTTTTCGCTGATATAAGGTATTGATTATTACTTTATATAAGAATATTGCTATTGCTTATATACTTATGACCTTTATGCTATTTATAAAGGTTATTGGAGCAACCTTCACTTGAATACCTCATGAAGGCACTCAAATTTATTGCAGATGGTAATACTGCTACTAAGATTGGTGATACTAAGATTGGATATCCTTCCTTATCTCCAGCACCCAGTCCAACTACGTCACAAGCTCCTTTACGTGGTAGCTCATATGATCCAGCTGCAGTGTTTTTCCTAGAATTAATGATTAATGTCACTTTACAAAATCGGGATCGGATTCAGCATTTATGGTACTTTTTCCTACTGTGATGGCTAAGCTTTTTCGTCATCTGAAAAAAACCTTTTAAATATATATTTTCTTAATGGTAAGTTATTTTATCGAAACCAATAAGGTTAATATTAAATTAAATCATATGAACTTGCCCTACATGGTCCTAATTAAGATTTAATAATAATTTAAACTTTGAGCAAAGATATTATCGACGAAGATTTAGATAATTTAAGGCATCATCAATCAAAACGTAGCATAATAAGATTAAAAAAAAGGATAATTACACAAGATTAATTGTATGTAATATGGTATTTGTAACAATTTCTCAGTATAATCAGACATTAATATAGATAATTGATCAACAACATCCTACGTTACAATTAATTTCATAATTTTTTTAATCTCACTATGCCACGTTTTGACAGACGACGCTTCATTTTAAGGCCGTACAGCCATCCTATAAATTTTGAGAGTTTAAAAATGCCTTTAAGCATTAAATTTGTCTGGGTCTTTATTAAATGTGTTCACTTTTAACTAAACAAAATTTGCAATTTCACTTTTAATATTAAAGTGAAGCTGCAAATTTGTCTAGCTGAAAACGAACTTATTTCGATTAAGATCTGGCTAACTTTATTGTTTAAAGCATTTTGAATCCCTAAAGTTTGCAGAATAGTTGTATGCCTTTAAAATAGTCATTCGAGTCATCTTCAATGATATTTTCACAGTTTAAATTGCTGATTTTAGGAAAATTATTTGTGCCATCTGGAATGAACTGCTATGCATTATGGTTGGAGGTTGGCCAAATAGTCAAAGTATTAAATAGTTGAGAGTGGTAATCATCCGGGTGGCATCTAGATTTTAATTAGGACGGTTGAAATTGATGATCTACAAATCATAATGTAGGTTGAGATCGCGTGGTTTAATTCGCTATCGATATAATTTTGGTATTGGTTTAGATAAATTGAATAGAAAAACAATGAATGTAAAATAACTTACCTTTGGAATATATGAATTTATAATTTTTTCACATGACATTTTGCACCATTGTAGTAATTATAAACCTTTTAAATATGATCACCATTATCTGTATCTAATTTTATTAAATTTATTCGTGGTTATCAGGCCTATCCTTTTTGAACATATAACTGATATTCTTAGAGAATCCCAGAATAACAGTATTTTACTGGTAGAACGAACTGTAGTTGCATTATTGAGATTGTGTATTCGATTAACGCATAAGGTAATATAAGTACTTAATATTTGTGTTGCTTAGTTGTTTATTGAAAGGATATTAATACATATATCATTAGGATGAAATGGTCTCTGATATACTTCAAACTTTAGAGCTTTTGGGAGCTTTACCACTTGATGTAGTTAATTCTGTGGGTGAGCAAATGATGGCTGGTATTTTAAATCTTATAAAATCAGATGCAGCCTACATCAGGTAGTACTTATATTCTTTTTATGTGGTTCATGACATAATCATGTTTATCAATACCAAATATCACTATTTAGGGGAAAGCGACCTTGGAAAACAGTTTTTACGCTTCTTCACGCAACTTCAACACATCCACAAGCATCTAAATATTCTTTTGACGCAATTTCTTCATTAGTTCGAGAAAACAAAAATATTAATAGTGATAATTTTAATGAATGCGTCGAACTGCTGGCCGAATTTGCATCTGCTGCATCATCTGCATTAGAACAGGATTCACCTCACGAGTCTTATATGCGAACACCAAGAACTCGTATATCCAAAACGTATGCAAATTTACATTCAATTTTTGAATATATAAATATACATAATACATCCACAATATCAACCTTTTAATACATTTATAAATTTTAAATTTCTTCACATTTAAGCCAATCGGCTATCATTGATAGGGCACGTAAAGCTGTCGAGTTGTTGTACATTCTATATAATCAGATACCGAAATTGCTAATAGAGTCAGAAACACCCCCACGAGAAGGTATCTTCTTTAGACTTAACTGATTAAATTGAACTTTGACCTTGCTAATCTTTTTTTACTTTATAGCTTGGTCAACTTATTGGCTTCCAATTCTTACCGGTCTTAGTCAGCAATGTTATAATCCATGCCGTGAAGTTAGGCAATGTGCCACCTCGTTCCTTCAACGATCGCTACTTGACCCAGAGCTTGTCTCACATGGTGTTACGGAATGGGTTGTCATCTTCGATGTAGTACTGTTTCCATTACTAGACCAATTGCTCAAACCTGAGATTTTTCAAACCGACCCTACTAATATGGAAGAAACTAGA